TAGAATCACTTTGGGAGTTTCTGGTTCAGTTGGTCTGAGGTTTTTAAACAAAATCCAAGTGACCATGATGTAGGTGGGACATGGTCAAACCTTTGAGAAACAAACCATCTAAGAGACGGTAGTCACCTTGTAGAGTAGTTGATCTAGTCTGAATTTCCAATGCTTTTTGTATTTTTTTTTCTTATTTCCTCCCCAACTATATTCATGTCTTTATTCTGTCATGCATGTGATACGTGTTGTGGAATATATGTGTAATAGGTAGGGATGTTGTTGTTGAGTGCCGTCAAGTCGGTTTCGACCCATAGCAACTCTGTATAGGTTTTCAAGGAGCAGCTGGTGAGCTTGAACTGCTGACCTTTCAGTTCAAACCAACTTTGCAGTCCAGTACATTAACCCACAGCACCACACCAGGAATCCATAGGTGGAGATGGAGATAGCTGGAGGAAAAGTAGAAGTGAGGTCAAATGAGGCAACTGTAACTTATTAAAACAATTCTTATTGGCAGCAGTATGCACAGAATTACTTAGGGACCATTTTTCAAAATTCACTCTTTCCTTCATCCCTTGATTCTGATGGCTGGCTCTCCATGTGTTTCTGAGATACCACACCATTGAGAACTTGATTAGGAGTATTGCCAAATTGTTTCCTCTGTGTCTGGTCCAGTCAGATTTCTGGATTTTGTGACTAGGTGTAGGGTTAATCTTTCCAGAGGCAGAGCTGAGTCCTGGATAGTGAAAGTGTCGGGGCCAATAGAGCATAGATCCTAACCTACTGCAGATAACTAGCATATTTCAGATAATGCTGTTGTTTGAGTGTTTGGTGTAGATATCCAGAAATGAACACAGCATAGATCATTCTTTTGAGTCCAGTTGAGAAGACATGGTACAGGGTTTGCTATCAGGGAGGGACTGTAGATGAGGAGCATTGCTGAGCCCCTGTTGATTACTTATGTTGGTTGGTGTTTTAGGCATCATTGTACAAGAATGTGTATATGGTTGGATAGGGTTATGAGTCGGTCCCAGGTGCTGTATCATCTTCCCCCTTTACCTTAGATTAAGTTCACCTTCTTTCTGGTCCACCTAAAATCAACCTGCTTCTCTACTAGCTTTCAGCCAGATGCCTCTCCATGGCTGGGGAGCTGTAAGAAATACTAAACTCAGACTATCAGCAGAGAATAAGGATACTAACCCTTGCCTATCCTTTACGTGGAGGGCTGGCTGATCCTTCATGTCACTGAGTGGGTCCTCACCCAATTTTATGTTCATAAAGTAGTCTATCCCAAGGGACCCTTTCCTTGGGAATCACTTCTGTAGAGTTGAAGAGCCACAGTCTAGGTATTCTACAAATGTCTCTGTCTTTAAGCATTTTCTTTCATCTGATATATTTTTAAAATGTATCCAAGTTATAATACTAGACCTAGAAATTGGATGAATAGTCTTTCTCATTATAGCAAGAACTTCCTTGGTTTGGGAACTTCCTTCCTTTGTAACTCAATCCACTAGAAAGGGCACTCTCATGGCTTAAAGTGTCTGATTAGTTGTTCCCAACTAATGGTTTGAGTTTCTTACCACAGCCTAGAGATGCTCCCTTAGTACCAGGTCCTTCCTCTTACATGCTTACATAGGTTCTACCCCAGTGTTTCAGGATGATATCATGAGTTTCCTCAAAGATTTCCTCCTGGTTTCCCTTCTACCTCTGTCCCTGCCCAAACCATGGCATCACACTCTGGAAGAATTTAAGGTCTGTGTCTCATGGGTCAGAGTTCACCATTTCACCACCCTTCTTGATACTGATTACATTTTCCTCTGAATCTCTAAGCTTTCCCTAATTATTATCATGTAAGTATGTATTGGGGGGGCATTTCTACTAAAAGGAATGGTTTGGGAGCATATCTCCTCAGTCTATATATCCACAGGGCCCCATCCTTGATGGCATTTATATACATTCCTGCAGGACTCTCTGTTTAGTTCTGCTACTGCTTCTGAGAGAGCACTAGCTTGTTTCTTTGACGCTATTACATATATTTCAGGTGTGAACACCTACCTAGGGATGAATGATGGATGAATGAATGTCTTAGAGCAGAGGAAAATAGCAGGCCTTCAAGTCTTGAAAGGGTAAGGAACTAAGAAGGAATGAAGCAGGTGGGTGCCCTGCTTGAATAACTTGGTTATTGGCTTTTTTGGTTCTCATGCATACTTATGTAAGTAGTGGGTACGTTTCCAGGAACTAGAGGCATGGGGAAACAACGGGTTTCTTTTTCAGTCCTGTAGCAGACTCTGTTCCATGTGCCCACAAAGACTTTAGAGTTTCTCTTATTCTTCCAGCAGATTTTAATTTTTGCTCCTAGTTGAAGATTAGGCACCTCAAGCCATTCTTTCGCTGATTCTGGCTTAGGGCAAAGGCAGCCAAGGCTGTTTCCACTCCCTGCCATCCTATATTGATCCTGACTATAAGTAGGACAGACCTGAATTTGGGTGCTTCTTTGGTGCTGGTGGTGAGCCTTGGAGTTGGTTCCGACTCATAGTGACCCTGTATAGGGTTTCTGAAGCTGTAAATCTTTATAGGAGCAGAAAGCCTCATCTTCTCTCACAGAGCTGGTAGTTTCCGAACTGCTGACCTTGGAGTTAGCAGTCTGATGCTTCTTTGTCAAAAACCCTCGGATTTGCACCAAGTCAAAGGAGATTGATCTCATGAGCCATCGATTCAGGCTTACTTGAAGGTTAGGTTATTATTAAGTGGCGTTGAGTTAGTTCCGACTCATAGTAACCCTGTATAAGGTTTCTGGGGAGCAGCTAGTTGGTGAGTTTGAACCACTGACCTTAAAGTTTAAACTGACCTTACAGTCCAGCACATTATCACACAGGGCCATACTAAGACTTGAGCGTTATGGGAGGTGCTATAAACTCCTGGTGTGGTGCTGTGGATTTGCACTGGACTGCACACCACAAGGTCGGCAGTTCAAACTCACTAGCTGCTCCTCAGAAACACTGAATAGGGTCGCTATGAATTGGAACTGACTTGATGTCATTTAACAACAATAAGCTCTTGAATTGTGTTTACTACTACTGTACAGAACCAACAAAATTGAATCCTAGTGACTTGGCATTATGCATAGGGCTGTGCTAACTGAACCTTCTGCCCACCAAAATAGCCCACAGTGTAGCTTATGGCTGCCAAGGACTTCTGGTCTGAGGAAGGGGTTGGGAAGGAATACTTCCAGTCACTGAGAGCAGGATGTTGTACCCTCAAGAAGCATGTTAATTTACCTAAATCAGCAGTCTGTGAGGTAGTCATTTGTCCTCAGATTCCAGGGTCCCTGATTAGTATAGTTGCTCAGAGTCAGCTCTTGTCTATTCCTATGAAAGCACAAAGTGTCTCCAAGTCAGGACATTTGGATTTAGAGAGAATGTGTTGGAGGGCAAAGGAGGAAGGATTTCTGACTACATTAACCCTTGATGAAAATAAGCATATTTAAAACTAAAACCAAGTGTTTGCCCCAATTTAAAAAAATGTTTCCTTTTTCTTGTTCTAATTTTTTTGTTTTTCAATCTTTTACAAAAAGCACAATCCCAGAAAGCATAGAGTGAAAAAGCCTCTTTCTTCATATACATGCTAAGAAAATAGTTTTCTACACAGAATTCCAAGGAGGGAGAGAAAAGGGATAGGGAGTGAGGGGAGCAAGGAAAGAGGGTGAGAGGCAGAGAAAGACAGCAGCAAGAGCGAGACCACATTAGGTCAACTTCTTTCCTGTTGCTGACTGACATTTGTAACCAGCATTTTTGGGCATCATCAGTATAATGAATACAACCCCATCCCAGATTTGCTGGAGTTGTCATTTTTAAATTTTAGTAGTGAGTGGGACTGCAAATGAGATTCACAAAAATAGATGGAGACTAGGGACTGAGCTGAATTTCCCTCCCTCCCCCATGTCTTCTGCAATAAGCCACTGCTTCAATATTAACTTGTTCACAGAGCGAAGTGACTGATAAACCAGTACACCTAAGTCCCAGGGCAGGCTGAAATTTGTATTAAATGGATAATAGTAGTAGAAGCAGCCTAGAGGGGAGAAAGGATGGAAGGGAGATACCCTGGAATGGGAGGTCTTAGGGACAAGAATAAAGAGAAATCGAGAAACTATCTGGAGGACGTGGGACATTTTTGTAGGTTTTTCCTTGCTAAAATGAAACACCTGCTTTTCCACCCCATACCGCTTTAGATAGGCTTTGGGGTTGTCAAAATTACCACTTGATGAGTATGGAAACAGACTGGGTAGGGAACTCTCTCCTAGGTCTTCTGTGGATTTCCTTGTTGATATCATTCTATCTTTCATTTTGTGTTATCTCCTTGCCTGCCTATTCCCTTAAATATCATCTCCAGACCTCTATGAGCCTAACAGATAGGCCTAACAGCCTAATAGCAGTTGCTGTTTACTGGATGAGCTGGGTTGCCATATGATGAGATATAGGGAGTGAGAGCAAGGGCAGAAGATAAGGAGGAAGAAAAGCAGGTGGGGAATAAATGACCCAGCAGACAAAGAAGGTTCAGGAAGTGGCAGAAATGTGAAGGGGTCACTAGGAAGTGAAATAGGAGTAGGGTCTGTGAATGAAGTAAATGAGAAGAAATGGTGGTAGGTAAAAGGAAGCATATCTAGGATTCAGAAGCCAAACTGCCCCATTCATCCTTTTCCCTGTGGGATTGCCAAGATAATGACTTTTAAAACTCACAGAATGTTCCGTTAGAAATACTTAATTCAGGGGGCAGGGACTGGTCTTTTGTCCCCGTCTCCACACTCTTCTCCCCATTACCAGCTCCTGCCTCTGAGGCTGGGCCTGGCCAGGGAAGGGATGCACTGCTTCAGTCCCAAAAGGATCAATTACCAGACCCATGGCAAGGAGTTAAAGCCATTTGATTTTCCAAAAATGAGGTGGAGCTGGTTTGAAAGAAACCCTTAAAATGGAGGGAGGGTAAGGAGTGACACAAACAGGAAAAAACCACTTGTTTGATGGGAGAGTTTTCTTTTTTTTCTGTATTTTTTCAAGTTTATGCTTTTTAGTTCATTCCTCTGGTCTCTCCATCTCGCTTTCTTGTGCACATAGGTGCGCTCTTGCTCTTTTTTTGGTTGTGTGTGTGTGTGTGTGTTTTTAAAGAACTTTGGATTTGCCGTTGGTGGGCAGCGCCGGTCCCAGAGGCTGGGCCCCCACTTGGCAGGGCTGGGACAAGAGGCAGGCCCACGGCTGCTGAGAGGATCTCTGTGTTTAAAGCCTTTGAGAATAAGTTACTGCAGTTTCCAGGATGCAGGGCCGGGGTTGGCAGAAGGGTTCCTAACGGCGGCTTCCCCTAGAGTCCAGGCCGCAGGGCCTCCCAGGCAGGAGAGGGTTAGGAAGGTGAGCCGGGAGCACTTCTCCCCCTGCCAACCTCCAGTTTGGTTAGAGTTTTGTGGGCTCCCTGCCCATCCCAGACTCCAAATTTGGGAGCCAACTGGGTATTTGGAAAGAGTTTGTGAGCGTTATGGCGCTCTAGACAAGGGGGGAGGGGGTGGGATGGGGGTAGTAACAAGGTTTATTTTTCTTACCCCTTCTTTGTCTTGAGTTTTTCTCTTTTTTTTGGTGTTTTTCAGTCAGTAGAACAGTATGGGCTAACATGTGTGCGCGTGTACTTGCATGTATGTGTGTGTGTGTGTAGATGTGGGGGCGCTGGGAATTCAGTGGAGAAAGACTGTAGAGAGATGGACCCAATGACAGGTATGTGATGGGATGGGCAGGGTAGACATATATAAATAGCGGGGATGACAAGATGGGTGTGTGTCTATGAAGACATATGGGTAAGGGATCTATCTGTCAGGAGTTGAGGACTAGGATTAGAGTTTGTCTGTGGGGGCTGGGGAGGAGGCAGGACTCTGCTGGAGGTGGGGTGTGTGAAGCCCACTGAGGGTGGGAATTGAAAGATTCCCATGAGGTGGGCGGAGCCAAGGGCTGGGGTGAGGGATCTGAGCTCCCACCTAACATCCCTTGGGTTAAGAGAGGGAGCCCTGAGGCTTTCCCCTCTGCTCCCATCTTGGTTTATCTGTTTATAAAGCTAGAAGTGTAGAGGTAGTAGTCGTTTTTGGGTTGGAGTCCGTGTGAGGTAATCTTGCTTCCTCTTTGGCAAAAGCCACAGCAGCTGAGGCAGCAGTGGCGGCGTTGGTGATGGTGATGGGTGGGCCTCCTGGGGGTGGAGCCGCCTTGCGCCTGTGGGCCGAGGAGCGCAGGTGGGAAGCCAGGGCTTCACGCCCACTCAGCAGCACCTCACATGCCAGGCAGTGGTAGGTGCAGATGGGCACCCGCAGTGGAGGTGGTATGGAACCCCCGGGGCCCCGCCCGAAGAAACAGAAGGATCTCTGGTGGGCAGTGGCTGGGGCCTCCCCATCAAATGCCATCTTGCACTGGCGGCACAGGTAGCGGTGGGTCACATCCACGGTGGAGATGCCAGTGCTGCCTGTCAGCAGCTCATCAGCCTCCCCAGCCTCCCCATCCCCTGAAGCTGGCAGTTCAGGTGGCTTTGGAGGCGCTGTGGCTGTGGGCTCAGGGGCCTGGGGTGGTGGCTGGAGGAGGGCATTAGGGAGCAGCCCAATGAGGGTCTGAGGTATCACAGGGTTCATGGGAAATAACCCCTTCTTCATGCCATAGAGCTGTTGGAAGTAGGCCCCCTGTAACTGGGGACCAAAGACAGCTGGTGGTGCTGCTGCTCCTGCAGGAGGCAGTGGAAAGGGCAGGAACTGGCCTCCCAGCAGAGCTGGGACAGTGGCCTTCAATGCTTTGAGGTTCTTGAGGGCATCAGTGGAGGAGTTGGTGGGGGCTGTGACTGGCTTTCGCTCACCAGAGACCTTGTCCCCTGAGGGCTCAGTTGGTGGGCCTGGGACAGGGTCAGTGGTGCCTGCTGTGGAGGTGTTGGTTTGGTCGGGCACAGGTCTCTGAGGTAAGGGGCGGCCTGGGCCAGCAGTCTGGACCACTGTGGTAGCAGGCAGGACCGAAGTGGCTAGGCCAAGGAGGCCTGAGGAGGCTGCAGGGCCTAGGAAGATGAAAAGATGATAAAGGATTAGCCACCTCCTGTCCCATCATTCTTCCTGCTGAAGGCCATCTCTAGATACATACTCATTCCCACCACCTGACTTCCACTCCCCTGCCCCACTACCTCTATCCTGCAAGAGTCTGCAGTGATTGTCAAGAAAGAAAAGGATGGATATATCTGAATTTCCAACCTCCTAACTTACCTGAATTGAAAGGAGCTAAGCTGCCCAATGGGGGCTGGGTCAGAGCTGGGCCAGACAAGAGAACCGGGGCCAGGCGAGGCAGGGCTGGGGCAGTCCCGAGAGACAAAGAAGCAGGTGTGGTGGTTGACGGGGCCTTGGTTGCTGGGGGTGCTTCAGGTGCAGGGGCTAAGTCATAGCACTTGCTTTCACTCTTCAGCTGTGCTCGGACTGCCTCCTTGAGCTTGGCCAGGTGCTGGCGGGAAAAGAGATGGCCTCGGCAGGAGACATAGAAATCATATTTGACATCACAGTAGGGGCAGTCGGTGCGTTGAGCTCCCAAGGGGCTCTCACTGCTGCTTCCAGAGCCCCCAGCTGTTGCCCCCTGAAGTTTGGCCTTCTTTTCCTTGGCACGAGCATTCTGGAACCAGACCTGGATGACTCTCTTGGGCAGCCCAATCTCCTCCCCCAACACCTCACATTCCTGCATGGTGGGGGTTCGGTAGGCTTCATAGCAGGCCTTCATGATCTTCAACTGTAGGCTGCTCATCTGGGTCCTGTAGCGCCGCTGCCCCATTCCATCTGTAACCCCAGCCCCACTTCCTGCTCCCCCACTGGTCCCTCCAGTCCCAGGGGACTCTGGTTCAGCCAGGCTGGAAGCAGATGAATCACTTAGATCTCCTGCAGATGGACTGCAAGCTTCACTCTCTGGAGACGTTTTGGACAGTTCCTCTGGGCCCTCATCTTCACTGGGTGGAAGGGGAGGTGGAAGAGTTAAAGGTGACTCTTTTCCTGATGGTAGGAAAGGAAGAGTCCCAGCAGCAGAGGTGACTGGGGGGTATAGAAAAGCAGGTGCTTCCCTCTTTGTGGTGTCCCTTCCAACCCCCTCGTCTATCTTGCCCAACAAGAGATTGAATTTGGGGAAGGGTGCTGGAGTGGGTGCGACAGAGGGTTTGACTGCTGGACTAGGCACCGTGCCAGGGGTGCTTCGAAACTGGCCTTTTCTCTCCCGGGCCCTGGTGTTCTGGAACCACACCTGTACCACTCGCTTTTTGAGTCCCACCTCCTCTGAAATGCAGTCAAGCATCTTGCGTGTTGGGTTGGAGTCCTGCATATACCAACGGTACAGGATCTCCAGCTGCTCAGGCAGGATAGTGGTACGAAGACGCTTGTCCCTGGGGGGCTCTCCCTCCCCTCCACCCCCAACTTCACTGCCTGTGGGGGACAGGCTGCCATCCTCGTGCTTTCGTTTGAGGGGTGGTCCTGGCACTGCTGAAGCGCCTGCCACCAGGGCATTACGTTCTCCAAACACCAGCAGGGGCAGATCTAAGAGGTGCGGAGGAGCACTGGGCTGCACAGATGGCAGGAAATGTAGTCTTCGGTGACTGGTCAAGAGGTCCTGGCTGGGGAAAGATGTGGTGCATTGATCACAGGCATGCGCTGTGGTAGGGGAAGGAGGAGACTTCCCTTCAGGCTCTCTGCCTCCAGGTTTTGCTGCCTCTGCCTCCCTGTCTGGAGGGTCTGGTGATGGACCCTCAGGTCCTGCTGGGGGTTCCAGGCTCTGATCCTCCTCTGCTTCTTCCTCTTCCACTTCCTCTTCCTCGTCTTCCCCTCTCTCTGCCTCTTCCTCCTCCTCTTCAGGGGGCTGGTCATCATAGCATTTCTTGAGGTGCCGCACCAACTCAAAAACACAGGAGAAGGTTGTGTGGCAGCGCCTGCAGCCAGAAGTTCCTCCCGATCCTCCCCCAGTTGACACAGGCCCACCCTCGCTGGCATTTTTGCGTGCTTTCTGGCGGGCATTCTGGAACCACACCACCACCACACGGCTAGCTAGGCCCAAGAGACTTGCAAGCCGTTCCACCTCTCCATCCTTGGGGTAGGCACTGGTCTCAAAGAAAGCCTGCAGTGCTTGGGTCTGGAAGTCTGTGAACTTGGTTCTGGAGAACCTGCGGCCTGCAGGCACCAGGGGAGGAAAATTCCCTTTGGAGTTTTCTTCCTCCTCTGTTGGCCAGCGTCCTCCTGGTCCATTTCGCTCCTCAGGGAGCCGGGTTCCTCCTGCCTCCGGCTCTGGGGCCAAGAAGGGTGGGCCCAGTTGGGGAGCAGGTGAGTCCACAGTTCCATCCAGTTTGGGCGGCTCTGCAGGGGGTGGGTACAAGCTATCATAGCTCTTTCGAAACTGAGCAGCATACCGACTCAGAGCCTCAAAGGGCAGAAAACGGCGGTGGACATGCTCCTCGTGGGTCTTGAGGATAAGCATATTGGAGAAGAGTTTCCCACAGGTCCCACAGGCCAGCTTGTCCCCACCCCCCAGAGCTTCTGGAGGGGGTGGGGCCGGGGGAGGGGGCACAGCCTGCTTTCCTTCATTATACTGGATCACCAGCTCAAAGCCAAAGTTTTCTAGAAGAGTTTTGGCTGCAGTGCGGGCTGCCTCATTGGGTGTCGGGTGTGGTGGTGAGGAAGGCCCTGCCTCGTTCCCCTCTTCGGTCATGGGCGGCCGCTCCCACTCCCGCTCGACCAGCTCAGCCTTGGGGGGTGGGGGCGGAGGGGTGGCAGCTGGCAGGGTCAGCATGGGTGCAGGCCCGGCCAATGCCAGCTTAGGTGCCACCTTGAGGTCATGGAGGTAGAAGGGCAGGAGCAGCTGCTGCTGCTGGAGCTTCAGCAGAGATTCAGGGACCAGAGGGAAGGGGGGCAGGACCGGTGGGGTGAAGAGGGGGGCTGGGAACCTGTGGAGGTCTAAGGGAGGGGGTGGAGGAGATAAGAAGGGCAATCCCGATATAAAGCCACTGGGGTCAGGGCCCTTCTTCTCAGTGCCCACCTCCCCCTCAGGCTCACTTTCCTTGAGCTCTTCTTGGCCACGTTCTGGCCCCTCAACCTTGGCATCAGTCTTAGTACTCCTAGAGCGAGTCTGATGCAGAACGGATCGCATGTGGATCTCCAACGTGGAGCTCTGGTTGTAGGAGACTCGGCAGACTGTGCATTTAAAGGGCTTGTCTGTGGCAACAGCGGTGGTAGGTGGGGCACCAGCCTCTCCCCGGGCAGGGGCCGAGGGGTCAATGGCAGCCTTCTTCATCTTATGAAGGTGGGAGACAGAGTTATAATGAACCAGGAGGATATTCTTCTGGGTGAAGGACTCCTTACACACTGTGCATTTATATGGCCGAGCAGGATCAAGAAACTTGTCCAGGGCAAAGTTGGTGGTCTTCCGATAGGTCAAAGGGTGGCGAGAATCAGCTGGAACTGGCTCTGCAGGGCGGGTCTCTCCAATGGTCCCTTCTTCCTCCTCAGCCATGGTGGGTGGAGGAGCCATTTCTTCAGTGTGGGTATCAAGCCTCGGGATTGGAGATGGGACTGGAGAAGGAGGTTGCTCAGGGCTTCCCATGGGCTTCTCTGGGGCCTCAGCTGAGAGTGGAGGAAGCTCAGGAAGAGGATCGGGACTGGCTTCTGGGGTCAGGTTAGGGCCTTCTCCTAAAGGAGAGAAGAAAGTGTACAGTGAGAAGGGGACTTTATTTAGGCCAGACCCTACCTAGCATCAAGATAATTGATGCCTGCCACAATCATCTTCAGATATTCTTGGTTCATGGAGCCCTGTTTTCATTTTCCTACTGCCCTATGAAGTATGCTACTCCTTCCTTACCTGATGCCTGGTCTCTGCTGGGTACAGGCTCTGGTCTAGGAATGGAGGTTTCTGGGCATTCCTCCACAGGGCTTAGATTGGACCCATGCAGCACTTTGGTCATAAAGGTCATCTCTACAGTTGTGGCCTGTAATGGAAAAAACCCCAATGATTTAACACCCCCTAGCTCTCATCCCAGATGATACAACCTTGCTTGCTAAAAGGGAAGAGGACTTAAAATACTTACTGATGAAGATCAAAGACCACAGCCTTCAGTATGGATTGCAGCTCAATGTAAAGAAAACAAAAATCCTCACCACTGGACCAATAAACAACATTCTTAACAATGGAGAAAATATTGAAGTTGTCAAGAACTTCATTCTTCTTGGATCAACTATCAACACTCATGGAAGCAGCAGCCACGAAATCAAATGACGTATTGCATTAGACAAATCTGCTGCACAAGACCTTTTTAAAGTGTTGAAGAGCAAAGATGTCAGCTTGAGGTCTAAATTACTCCTGACCCAAGCCATGGTATTTTCAATAACCTCATATGCATGTGAAATCTGGACAGTAAATAAGGAAGACTGTAGAAGAATTGATGCATTTGAATTACGGTGTTGAAGGAGAATATTGAAAGTGCCATGGGCTGCCAAAAGAACCAACAGATCTGTGTTGGAAGAAGTGCAGCCAGAGTGTTCCTTGGAGGCCAGGATGGCCAAACGTAGTCTCTGATACTTCAGACATATTGTCAGAAGGGACTAGTTGCTGGAGAAGGACATCATGTTTGGTTAGGTGGAGGGTCAGTGAAAAAGAGGAAGACCCCCAGAGAGATGGATTGGCAAAGTGGCAGCATCAATGGGCTCAAGTGTGGCAACAACTGTGAGGTTGGCCCAGGATTGGGCAGTGTTTCATTCTGTTGTGCATAGGGACGCTATGAGTGGGTACCGACTTGATGGCACCTAACAACAACAACAATTCCTCACCCTGTTCTTGGCTATTCCTGACCTCTTCTGGTCTGTGTCAAGCTCTCTTTCAATGCATCCAGCCTCCTCTCTGGTCTGAGCTGCACCCTTTCCCATCTGGTTCCTTCTTTACTTAGGCCACCTGGTCCTCACGGGCTTGAAGAACAAGGGTGACTCCCTTGCTCTGTGCCTTCTGTTGAACAACTCTTCTCAGAATTTAATGGAAGTGGAAGAAATGCTTAGTTTCTTCATCCATGAGCAAAGACAGCTAAACAAGATAAGTTCTAAGGTTCCCTCCAATTTGAAATCTGAAATGCTACTTTCTTAATCAACAGGCCCTCCACCCTCCGAATACATACGCTTGCCTAGATACCCTGCCTCTTCTTTTCCTCCTGCATGGCACTCACAAGACTGTAGTGGATGGTTTTTAGCCCGTCAGTACTCACCACAAGCAGCAGCTTCTCAACACACTCAGGTACCACATTGTGAAGGTGGCTAAGGTGGAAGTGCAGGGCAGGTCGGCCCACTAACTGCTCCTGGCACAGTGGGCATCTGTACTTAGGCTGCATTGCATGCTGCGAGAATGTATGAGTCTTCACCTGGTCAGATTCTGGGCTCATGAAGCTGCAGTATGGACAGCAATATACCTGGAGACACAAGAGCAGTGGAGATGGTATCAGAGAAGGTGGGACTCTCCATTACACAGTCCTTTGCTCCTTAGATGGAGCATGATCCCCAGTTTAGGAAGGGCATGCCCCATAGGAAGGTACCAACCACCATCCAGAGGTCCTGAAAGCAGCTCCTCCCTCTTTTCCCTTGGGTTGGAATGAAGTCCTAGGCTGCTGCTCTTCTTCCTTCTTTGGCCCTCTCTCTTCATCCTGGCCTCCTTGCCTTTTCTCTGCTAACCTACTCTGTTTTCTAGCTGACAATATGGCCCTAATCTGTTTTTCTTCCCTTACCCATTCTTCTTGTATCTTTTCCATGAAATGGCTGTGCTTCCTCTGGGCACTTTCTGGACTCACAGGCCTTCTTGTCCTCACCATCCTGCCTCATTCACTTAACTGAGAAGTTTTCCTGGAGACGGGACACTATCTACCCAGAGGCTCAGAAGCTCTCCCTCCTCCCATCCCGTCCAGCCCCCTGCTGCTTTTTAAAAATGTAACCAAATGCTACAGCTCCAATAGTAGCTCAGGAAAGTTCTGGTCTGGCCCAACTCTCCATATGGGTGCAGCTGGGGAGCTTGGGTGGGGACACAAGAGGCCCCTGGGTTTCTGCTGCCTCAAATCAGGCTAGTGTCCCTGGCACATTCCTCTCCAGTCCCCTGTGCCATTGGTCCAGGCCTGGTATCTCCCTAAGGCTGTCTGTAGGTGTGCTGGGGGTACACACCAGATGATCATCTTGGTGCGGTGCTGTAGGCTAATCACAAGGCCGGCAGTTCAAATCCACCACCCGCTCCTTAGAAACCCTATACAGGGCTGCTATGAATCAGAACTGACTCATAGCACTTGACAACAACAACTCCTTGGCACCAGGAGCCTTGGTGGTGCGAGAGGATACGCTTACCACAAGGTTGGCAATTCAAATCTACCATGGAAGAAAGGTGAGGTTTTTCCACTCCTGTAAAGATTTATAGACTTGGAAGCCCTATCTAGGGTTGCTATAAGTCGGAATCTACTTGATGGCAATGAGTTTGGTTTGGTTTTTTCCCTTTGAGCACTTGGCACAGACAAATGGAATAGCTCTGTTGTTAGGAAGAAGGGAACCTGAGGACAAGCCACCACTGCAGAGACCCTTCAGATCTGGATTTGTCCACATCCCATCCCATTTAGACAGCTGGGAATCCCCTCAGAATCCACACTTCAGACCAGAGGCCTTGGGTCTGGGGGTTAGAGATTTGTGGCGCTTGCTGTCTAGGTGAGTCATTTGAGTTGGGAGTTCCCCTAAGAAGCAGGGAGAAGGTGCCAGGACATTCCATCTAGGTTCAGGGCTTTCTGTAGAGCTGAACATCTGTGCTTATCTTTTTGCTGTTGGCTGTACAGCAGCCTTCCCACCCTGCCCCCGACCCCATCTCTTTTCGTTTATTCTCTTCTCTCCTCTCATGGTTCTCCTTCCTCCTCCTTCCCATCTTTCTTACCCTCATTGTCTCTTCACCTTTCCCTCAAATTCCTCCCATTTCTTCCTTGTCATCTTCCTCCAAGTGCCACCACCCCGGAGGCAGCTCTTTCTTTCCCCTTTATAATGCTGAGCTTATGTGAGTGGACCCAGGTGGAATTTCTTAAGTATAGCCTCCTGAGCGAAGGTGGTGATAAAAAATGGATACAGTAAACCTGCCCTTAGTCTGAACTTTGTAAAACTATGCATTAGTTAGAATTTCTGCCTTTGGAATATGAGCCTATCTCAGAGTAAAGTCAGATCCTTTTCAGCTCTACCCAGTTACCCCAGTTCTGACCGTGGTCTGGTTGGCACTGTCTCGCAAAGGACCAGTCTTGTTTTCTGCCTCTTCAGAAGCTGTAGATGAAAGGAGAGGAGATTAAGAGACTCTGACATCCTTCCCTCTTCCTTTTACAGACCCCCAGCCCTCAAGATGACCTGATTTGTAGCACAGAATCCCCAGCGTAAGGGGGTGGGCTCTAGGGAAAGGATTTGCTCAGTACTGATGTGTACAGATCTGATTCCAGGCTAGCAGGATGGCCAGGTTTGGGTCCTCAAACTACCTGCCTTCTCTCAGATGAGCCCTCCTCTACTCAGTTGATGCTCAGTTAGCACAGGAGGCCTTGCTGGGAATATGGATTTCCCCAAGGTTCCATGAACATCACAGAATGTACCGAGGTCGGATGGGGTGTGATAAGGGATGAAGGGGAAATGAGTCAGATGAGCAACTCACCCAATTGTTCTGTCTTGTTCTGGGCTTCTTTCTCAGGGGTGGGTGGCTCAGCTAAGGGGGTGACGGAAGCCTTCCCTGTGTAGGGGTTGAGGTGGAGAGTCAGCTTAGAGGAATGAAGCAGCAGGGAAGGAAGGACAACAGAGGAAGGGGAACAAGCAACCAGTCAATGAAGAGATTAGGACGGAATGGATGGATGACTCAACAGGCAAGGGAGGGTGGAAAGCCCCCAAGAAGCAATGCTCAGACAGAAGCTGAGGGACAATTACAGTGTTAGAACTGGTAGGGATTAAGATTCTCAGGTGAGTCCAAGCCCCTTCACCCACTCATTTTACAGATGAGGGAACAAGTCCAGCTGCATACAACAGAAAGAGGATGGAACTCAGCTGGAAGCAGAGGCCCCAGAAACTTAGTGGGAGGAGCATTAAAGAAGAAGGTTGAAGGTGACTAGAAGCAGCTATGGCAAGCAGGAGGTGGCCCGGCTAGCTGGGAGAGGAGATGACCACTCAAGTAAGAACTGACAGATGTGTAGGAATTTATTTTTGGTGGCAGCCTAATTAAAGTGTTAAAGTTCCTTAACTCCATTCAGCCCTGCGCCAGGATCGTTAGGTATTGATCTGGGCCCCTCCGGCACTTAACTCCAGCCAGCATATTGGCAATTCAATTAGCACCAGTCAATGCGGCCTTTTCCTCTTTCCTGCTACTAGTGCCCTTACCCTTGCCCATCCCTGGCCTCTACAAAACCCCGATGCCCAGGGCCACTTCTCACAACTCCTTCCAGGCCCTTCTCCTGCCCACTCTGGATCAATGGCTGTTTGGCTAGCTGTTCTTGGACTCTGCTGGTACAACCTCAGCTGCCTGGGGGGATCCTAAGCCCAGCCTTATGATTGAAGACCTTCTAGGAGACAGGAAGAGGCTGGGAAGCTTGTCAGGGGTCTCTTCCCATCACTGCTGCCTTTGAACCCTCCCTGCAGCTCCCATCTCCTTCCAACATGTCCTTATCTGCACAAAACCTTGCAGAAATCTTCCCGACCAGCTCTAGTCTGCCTCTCCCCACACCCAGCATTTCTAGGGCAGTAATCACTACTCAGAATCACTGGGAATTCCACTTTCCCTCCCTTCTCCTTCTTATTCTCTGTTCTCCATCTAGCAAAGTCCCTGCTCTTCTGGGCCTCCCAACAACAACGTCCTCACTCAGCAGCCCTACTCTTCCTGAACCCCCGGTCCATCTTACCAACTCTTCACCACCCTCTTTCCACTTGTTATTGATGCTCAGACCTTCTTCCTTTGACCACATTCTTATCAGTCCCCAGCATGCAGCCACGCTCTGCCCAGTCCCTACTCTCCAGACCCCCTTCCTCACCAGGAGTCCGAAACTGTCCATGACTGAAACTCAAGATGCTTTGAAGAGCTGACAGTCCTTCCTCAGCTGCTGGGCCATTCTGTAGCAGCTGCAGACGCCTCTGGGCCTGGGCGTCACGGTGAGCAGGTGCACGAAGGTGTTGCAGCACAGCCAAGCGTGAAGGTGTCTCCCAGGTACAGAGCAGGCAGTGGTAGAGCCCAGGCTCAGACCCTGCTTCTGCTCCCTCGATCTCCAGCAGAAACTAGCACAGAGAGATGGGCTCAGGCCTACAGGGACATCCCAGGTCTTGGGCTTCCTTTGCTTCCCCCTAGGGCATCCTGACTAGCACATCCATCCTTCGCACCAACTTGAGCAGTCCTTTTCCTTCCTATGACTACCTGACTGCTTTTTTTTCTCTCCAATCTGGACTCCCACTTAGGATGTGACTAGAATCTGGTTCTGTTGTCTTGAATTCTGGAGACAGAATGGGCTTAGAGGATATGGACCCCTCCCTACACGAATGACCTGCTTCACATCTTTGGAGTCCACGCTCCTTTGACCTTTCTCCTTATGTCTCCAAATCCATTATTTATCCCAGTGCACACACCCCTTGTTCTTCATTTCTGCCACCCTGGAGTCTTCCATCATTGCCCCACTTTGCATCTCTCCCCTCCAGCTCCACCCACTTCTCCCCTTAGGTCCCACCCTTACCTTATATATCTGGCTGTTTTCTTCATGGGCTGCACCCCGGGCATGCAGCTGCATCTTCTCCTTGCTGTTGGACTCAAAGTCACAGATGTTGCAGCGCAGGTGTAGGGGGGAAATAGACCCATACGGAGTTCCGTCTCCCAGGGACACTGGTGAGGGGGTGCCCATGGCCCCACCCCCCTCCCGCAGGTGAGCCGCCAGCTGGTATTTCTGGGCATGCTTGTCTGTCTTGAGGTGGAGCTGGAAGTTGGCCTTGAGCTGGGTACCATAGCAGCAGAGTTTGCAGCGGTGAGTGTCCCCCGCGACCTCCTTCCATTCGGCTTCTGGGAGGCTTCGGCCCACACTGCAGTGGTAGAGCAGCAGCTCCAAGCTGTCAGTGCTGAAGGCCTGGCACACTAAACAGCGGAACACCTTCAGGGATGGGCTGTCCTCTGGGGGTGGTGAGGTAGGCAGGCCATCAGGTGAGGAGCCCAGGAGCTGACTTGGAGGCAGGTGGGCATCCGGGGAGAAGCTGCCTGGGGCTGGGGACAGAGACAGATTGGTGGCCCAAGGAAGAAATGGGCCTGGGTGGGCTTGCTCTAGGAATGTGAGGAAGTGGATTAGCAAGAAGGATAGTGTTCAAAGGGCTTAGTGGTTATCCAAGTACAGAGTTGGTCTTTGTGGGAATGAGGGAATAGACGATGGTGCTAGGGGAAGAGAAGGGGAGTCAAGAGCAGAACCCAGGCAGTCTTACCAGGTGTGGGGAACTTTCGGGCAGGTGCTCCAAGGTGGTGGAAACCGTTGAGAAGCAGCTGGGCATCCAAGGACTTATCAGGCCTCAGCCCCGGGCCAGGCAAGGGAGCCTGAGGCTGCCCCAGGGTCTGGGGCCCGAAGTACTGGAAGAGCTCAGGAGGATTGGTGGGGGCGGCCCCAGGCGGGGGCGGAGGACCGGGCCCCACCAGCCCAGGTGGCAGGCCCAGCGGCAGCCCCTGGTGCAACATTAGGACGTTCTGCATGTGCTTCTCAGAGGTCATATGGATGCGAAGGTTGCGGGAGATGTTTGTCTCATAGCTGCACACCTTGCATTGCCAGGATGATTTGGTCTTGGGCTCTTTGTCCCCTGCAGAAGGTGGGAGTGATGCCTCTGGGGGACTGACCTGCCCACCAGGCCCTGCCTGGAAGCCCTGTAGGTTGGCCAGGTGCTTGTCAGACTGCATATGGATGCTGAGGTTGCCCTTGGTGGTGGTGGAGTAGTTGCAGACATCGCAGCGGTAGGGCTTGTAGCCACAATTGTAGCTCTCTCCGCGCGCAAGGCGAGGGTGAGCGCCGCCAGCGCTGCAGTAACTGCAGTGGCTGTTGCTCTCAGGGTGCTTCTCCCGCATGTGCACGTCCAGGGTCTGCTGGTACTTGTAGTGCCAGTTGCACTTGGGACACTTGAGTGTCTTACAGGAGTTGCGTGAATGTAGCAGAGACATGTGGCTGGACAGGCTGAGGCCCTGGAAGGTTGCAGGGGCAGGGCTGTAGTCGTCAGCCAGGCGGTAGGGCTGTGGTGGGTCATTGGGGTCTTCAGGGGAGCCCACTGGGGTGGGGAGAGTGGGCCCCTCCTTGGAGGTGGGTGAGCTTTGGTTGAGTGGGGGACAGAGCCCTCCATCCTCTTCTTGCCCCTCAGGGAACCAATCTGGCCCTGCCTCACCTGCTGCCATTGGCAATTCTTTGGCTTGGGTTGGGCTGGGGTCCCAGGTGACTGGGGTTGTGGGTGGAGAGGGTGGGCTAAGGGCCATGACTTCTTCAGGGGGCAGGACATGGGTCTGGACTTCTGTCTCAGGGGAGCCATCCTCAGTCTGGGCTACTTTTGCCTCCATGTTCACTGTGCTGCTGTTGTCAAGGGATAGCTCAAAAGAGGGGCAAGCAGGGAGTTTTGGTTCTAAAAAGCTTATGAGGGCCATGCAGCCCTCACCTCCCTCCTGGAGCATGGCTGGGCTGCCTGGCAGACCCTGGTGTTGAGCAGGAGTTAGCTTTATCCCATGAGACTGTGTATGGCCCAAAAAGGCCTGAGGCCTGCTGAAACCCAGGCGGCACAGAAGGCAGAGCCAGAAGAGTGCCCTGTGGTCTCCCCCTCTGCTCCCCATGAGGCCATCTTTGGGATCTCCGGGTGGGTTTGGAGCCAGCTGGTAGCTGCAAAAGGCGCCATCCCTTCCCTTACAGGCGGCCAGAGGTGGCACTGAGGTATCATGGGACAGAATTTGGTCAGAAGAGCTAAAGCCTTGGATTGGGTCAAAGCCATGTTGGATGTGAAGGGCAGTGAGGTGTGTGGGGGGTGGGTGGACAAGGAGGGGCAGGCTGGGCTCTTCCTTGATGCCTGCCTCATCCCAGGGGAAGCCCTTTGGTAACAGGGGTTCACTGCCCCCTTGCAGGGACAGTTTGGCCATTAGGTAAGCCTCGCCACCTGTTGTGAAGAACAAGTGGTTGTTTAGGTCCAAGGGAGGGAGTCCTTCTCCTTCCTCCTCTTTTTCCTTGTCTTCTTCTACCCCCAGATCCTTTGGTGGGAAGAGACCACAGCCAGGCTCTTGTTTGGGCTCCCCCATTTCCTTTGGTGGGACAAGGCCACAGCCTGACTCCGGGGGCTGCCCCCCTGGCTCTGAGGGCCTCATGCTCTCAGAGGTGGTGGGGGCAGCAGGGGGATCTTTGGTGACAGGATCAGAGGGAGTATGGGAGGAGGAGGTGTCCAGAGGCAGGGACAGGGCATCGTGCCCAAGGGAGGGGGTGGTGCCAGCAGTAGAGGAAGAGCTAAGGGTGGCCATGGCAGACGGAGGAATGCTGAGGGTTCATTTCAGCGTGACAGCCAGTACCCTGCAGGGAGACATGGGAAGAGAGCAGTGCTGTGAGCTTGCTGGGGAGCCAGGAACAGGCATTTGAATGTCTGGACATTTCCGTCCTGTCCTTTTCCCTACTCACCAGACTCAGACACCCATTCGCCAACCTTACAGCTTCATTTTGTATCTAACTTAACATGTCCAAAAGCAGAATTCTTTATTTCTCTCAAGAACCTGTTTCTTCCCATCTTTTACATCTCAAAAATTGGTAATTTTTCTTTTGCCCTTACTCCATATCCAATTTCATAGCAATATCTAAAATATATATCTCACCCCCCACCCCCATTCCCATTTCTCTTCCTTCCCACAAATAACCCTCCCTGCTCTAAGCCATTATTATCTCTCTCCTGAATTAATGCGACATATCATTCCGGGTTCTCCTACAATCTATCTCCCTCCACCAAGTAGCCAGAACCATCTTTTTTTTAATTCTCAATTATGAAAAAAAATGCCAAACATATACAAAAGTATATCATCTAGCATAAATGAGTCCTGTTGTACCCATCATCAAGCTTCAGTAGTCATAGCTCATAGCCAATGTTGTTTCCTCTATATCCTCTCCTCTCCTCCCATCCCTACCTTTCCTGTAGGTTTTGAAGCAAATTTCAGGCATCCTAGAGAATCATCTTTTGGAAATGGAAATTGTACTATATCCTACTAGAAACCCATCTGTGAGGTCTCACTGCCTTATGAATAAAATCCAAACTCCTTTCCATGGTCCCCAAAGATCCTATCTGATCCGACACCTCTGTGTGCATCTCTCACTCTCTACTCCATCTCACCTACAGGACCAGCCCCAGACTCTTGGTGACCCCACTTTTTGGTTTCCTTACTTATCCCCTTGTAGAAGGTAAGACTCAATCTGCTTTATTTATTGCTCTATCATTAGCACCAAAAATGATGCCTGCCACACACTCAGTAAAGGTTTGCTGAATGAACAAAAAGACCCTAAGGTTTTCCATGCCCTGAAGAGGCAAATTCTCTAAGTTAAAATCTGGCTACAATTCATTTTCACAGGTGCACAGGGATTCCACACTACTCTCTGATGCCTTACAGAGCCATCTCTGATCACTAGCATATGGAACAGATGGTCAGTCACATAATCCCAACAGGTCATATGTGATTAGCCTCCTCCTCCCCAAAGAGATTTCAAAAATAAGTAACAATAATATTACTAATAGCCATTGAAGGAGCCCTGGTAGCGTGCGTAGTGGGTTGCGCAACGGGCTGCTAACCACAAGGTTAGCAGTTCAAATCCACCAGCTACTCTGCGGAATAAAGAGGAGACTTTCTGCTCCCGTAAAGATTTACAGCCTCAGAAACCCCACATAGGCTCGTTATGAGTCGGAATTGACTCTATGACAGTGGGTAATAGCTATTGAGGTATTGTGTTAAATACTTGATATAGATCATTTATCTCATTTAATCTCACAGCATCTGTATTTTACAGATAAGGAAACCAAGAAACCAAAAAGTTGTGTAAGTTGCCAGTGACCAGAGAGATAATAAAACTAAAAGTAGTCTGGCTAGGCATTCATAACAGTTACACCCCAAAGCTGTGGCCTGGCCTCCCCATGGTCTGCACTCCTCCATCCAGCTGGCTTGTACCTCAGACACATGAACCTCCAGAGGACTAGAAAACTGCATTACTGGGCTGCCTCCAGCTGACCAGAGCACCAAGGTTCTTATGCTGTTCCCAACCTTCTTGATCTCCTCAAACTCACTAATTCCTCAGGCTTCACCAACCCCTATTTCTCCCAGTGCCCCAAGTGTTCTCATCTATATTCCCCCTAGCTCTAAATACCTGTAGATCTTGACTGATTGAACCTTTTGAGCTCTGGCCAAAGTGCTTCAGAGACGCTGAGGGCAGGTGAAGAGACGTAAGACCTCTCTCTCTCTTTGGACCATCTCTCACCCTCACCTCCAGATTCCTTGATTTGAGAAGGGTCCTAGGACTGGACCTGCCCAGGCCTCCATTCAGGCTTTCCTTCTCCTCCAGGGGGCTGGCCAGGCGTGAAGTCTGAGCCATTAAGGAGGCAGAAAGGGGATGGATTAGCATGCTAATGAAAATGCAAATCAACACCTGGGAAAAGAAGGGGATTGCTGGGATGCAGGGGTTAGAGTTAGAGGTGGGGGAGTTAAAGAACTGAAAGAGAAGTGAAGTAATTAATTGGGTGGAGGGGAATCTATTCCTAGGTAAGGAACACAGAAACCCTTTAAGTGATAGTAGAAAGGTACTCCTCCTATAGAATTTTTCCAGGGGCTGGGAAAAATCAGTGTGCTGGATGGTAAAGTCTAACATTCCATTCCAGTGGGGGCCTTCCCAGCCTGTTCACTGCCCCACCTGCTGGGAAGACCGGAGGAGGACTGGACCAGAGGGGCCTATTCACTGAAGGCTGTACACAGGTGGTTTCAGCAGTGGAACCCACCCTATCTACTTCCATTGCTCCTTCTTTCTGATTCCTGACTCACAACTTTAGATCAAAGTTCAGGGGAGACCTGGTAGACCTAACCTCAAATTCCAGACTCTCTTGCCAAAGCTTCTACTTTCCAGGACTGGAAAAAGCAGATTTGTGGCTAGAAACCCAAGAAGCACAGCTTCTGTCTAACTTGTCCCTGAGACACAGTTGGGTGGCTGAGGGCAGGTCCCTAGCTATTTAAAATTGCAAATCTCTTCCCTATCTCCTAAACTACCCCCTCCTTCTCTTCAGAAAACAATTTCAATTGCAAATTGATCTCAGCCTCAGTGCACCCCTCCCCTTTTCTTCAGGCCAGTCTCCCATCACCCACTATTTATTGCAAACATTTAGCTGCAGCAATTATTTGTTCACTTTTTTCCTCCTTCCATTTCCCTCTTCAATCTTTTCTTCCTTCCCTCTTGGAATCTCTGTCCTTTTCTTTGCCCTTCCTACCATAAACTCTGTTTTCATTTCTTTCTAGAGACAAGGGCATAGAAACAGATAACTGGACTCAAAGTCACCACTCCCCCACCTCCCACCCCCAGGCCAAGATTCTGGTGCTTCCTCAGAACCTGCTCACTCTTCCCTTTAGTGTCTGGCTTTTCTCAAGGGCATCTTCTCTCCCCTAGGGCACATCTTAGACTTCAGTGAAGGGAAAGGTGATCCCTCAGAGACCTTGACACTTCTGCTTCTGGAGGAGGGAAGGAAGAAGACAGATCAGGTGTGGAGAAGGACAGGAGTGAGGAGGGGGGGTGTCAGGCAAAAGGAAAACCTGGGTGAAGGCAAGGGCTGGGGGCCCTAGGAAGAGGAGAAGGGTAGGGGAGACAGAGAAGGCAGTGGCAGTGGTGTGATTAGAGAGGAGATTGATGTGACGGGGCGCCACAGACGGCAGAGAGAGTCAATAAAACGAGAGGATCACATTAGAGGCGACAGAGAGAGCTTTAAATTACAAGGCTGCTGCCACTGAGGGGGATGGGAGGCTGGAGGCTTGGAGCCAAGGGAGGGAGGAGGGCTCTGAGGGTGTAGTCATCCCAAGATGAATCCTCATCTCCAAAATGGCCCTCAGTCTCCAAAGCTCCCTGGCTGCCTGTTCATTCCATCCCACTTCTGAATGCTACATTCCCTCACAAGGAGGAGTATGAGTAAAAAAAATGGAGAAATAGAAGGGTTTTTGGATACTGCTCTCTTTTTGCTTCCAGGCCTGGGTGTCTGGTTATTTCTCAAGATGAGAAAGGGAGAGCAAGACCCTACTTTCCTCAGCTAGGGAGTTGTTGTCCAACAAATATCAGGTCATGAGTTGCAAATATTCTTCCTAAGGAATGTAGGCAGAAAATACCCCAAATTCCCAAACCCATTGCAATCGAGTTGATTCCAACTCATAGCAACCCAACAGGACAGGGTAGCATGGCCCCCATAGGGTTTTCAAAGCTGTAGAGTAGATCTTTATGGGAGCAGACTACATCTTTCTCCAATGGGTTTGAACTGCCAACCTTTTGGTTAGCAGCTGAGCACTTAACCACTGTGCCACCATGGCTCCTTGGTAGGAAGAAAGGTACCCATAATAGCTGGACAAGAATTCCTCCTCCTTGATGTATGCTCTCTGTTTAGCCAGCAGTAAGAAACCTGGAAACTAGAGCTATCGGGCAGGCACTAGGACCCAGAAAACTACAGAGAAAGATGGTAAGAGAAAGGTTCAGATGTGAAGTTATCTAAAGAGAGGTGGAAAGCTGAAAAGGCATACTCTGAGACTAAGCAAGAGTTGAAGGACCTGAGAATTACAAGAGTTAAAGGGGCAAGAGCAAAGGAAAGACCCCAAAAAATGACATCAGAGGAAAGAGATAATGCTGCTCCTGAAGAGGAGCTGGGACATGAGTTCAGTTTAGCTGGCAGAACTGTAGGCAAAGTGGGCCAGAGGCACACTCTTGGGAGCATCCCGCCAGACTTGACCCCTCTTGGGTACAGTTCCCCTCCCACTTCTAGTGGACCTGCAGAGAAAAGAAACATGATTGCCCCCTAGTGGTGACAGAGGGAACATCATAAAGGGTAGGCCTAATAGGGGCTTCAAAAAGTTTGTGGAAAAACTTCATTATTTTATCGTTCATTTTTCCACAAACTTTGAAGCCCCTTCACATACTTTCTCCTTCCTGCTGCTCTCCCTCCATAAAACAAAAATTCAAGGACCTTTCTACCAAACCCACGATCAAGGCAGCTGTTTTCTCAGCACAGGTTGCCAGATGGGCCCCATCTCCTTTGCTTAAAATTTGCATATAATGATTTCCACACCAGAGCCTTCCAGTCATTTTGTATTTCACTTTTCTAATTGTTCAATCTATTCCCTTTCCCTTGTTGTTAAGTCCTATTCCCTTCCCCTTGTTGTTAAGTCCTTCCTACTCACCGTGACCCAGAACAAAGTTTCTGAGGCTATGGCAGAAGTTCTGGTAGTTTTGAACTACTGACCTTGAAGTTGGCAGCCCGACTCATAACCTCTAGGCTACCACAGCTACTTTCCCTTCTCCTT